GAGGTCTTGCTGCCCAGGTGGTCTCGAACCGCGGGCTCAGGCAATCCACTCACCTCAGCCTCCCAAAGGCTCGGGATTACAGGCTGAGCCACCGAGCCCGGCTGAAGACCCCTGTTATTAACACAAACAGTTCCCGCCTGAGAGCACTATTGATGAGTGGAGTTTGGGGAGGTGCCTCCATTCCTGAGCAGGAGAGGGGAAGTAACCACCTCTGTGCACGAAGGTGGGCATGAAGAGGGTTTGAAGTCCGAGTCAAGGTCACTGGGCAGGCTCGCCAGGGCCTGTCTGTCTAGACTGAGCAGCTCCATCATGGTACCCAGCAGGGTTAGCCTGTCTTCTTCCCCTTTTATTGGTTAAGTGGCTGATTGATTGTATTATATAAATATTACAGAAAAATATTCCTATTTCTAGATGCCTACCTCAATTATTGTCCAGAGATTCTTTTTTTTCTTCTTTTTAAACAAGAGCTGGGAAAATAAAGGGTGATTATAGGGTGAGAGAGCCCTGCTAAGTCTGGGGTGGATGTCACAGCTAAGTCACTGACCTCCCTGGTGGCCAGCAGTCTGTGACCAGGTCCACGCTAAGCAGGTCCTTTGCCCAGAAAGCCTCTTGATCTTTATTGATCTTTTGAATTCTTCAGGAACCGGGTTGGTGAGTGCAGTTGCCAGGTGTCACTGATGTTGCACAACAGCCCTGCCAGAGCGCCCCCACGGTGAGTGCCCCCCAGAGCAGCCCTGGCCAGGCCCCATGCCACCACCTCCACCTTCGCCCCTGGTCCCTGCAGCCCCAGCCCCAGCCCAGCAGATTGTTTATATCCTCCAGCTGAGGCTGCAAAAGCCAAAGGGAGAGATTGGAAGGCAAGTGAGGGAGGGAGAGTAGAGGAAAGGAGGGGGTGATTTTTTTTTTTTTTTGCATACACCCTTATAAGGCTACTGAAGTCATTACCGATGTAATAAACCAACTAAGCATGCAGTGCCTCTCACCAATGTTCCCTTCTATAAACACAGCCTGGCCAGGCCCCCACTCCCTTCCTCCCTCCCTTCTACCCCGCCCTGGGGGATTTGCTCTCCCCTGACGTTTCTTTCTTACCCAGCCCCTTTTCCTTTTGCTACTCTCCTCTTTCCCTTCACTGGTTGCAGGGGGAGGGAGCCTGCCAGCTGTGAGGGCCTCTGTGGTGGAGGAGTTGGTGCCGATGGTGGTGGCGGTGACCGCTATGGTACCTTGAGGCCCGGCTGGCCAGCAAGAGGGCAGGGTTGGCCAGAGGAGGAAGACGGCGAGGACGTGCGAGGGGTGCTGAAGAGGCGCGTGGAGACGAGGCAGCACACCGAGGAGGCGATCCGCCAGCAAGAGGTGGAGCAGCTGGACTTCCGTGATCTCCTGGGGAAGAAGGTGAGTACCAAGACCGTGTCAGAAGAAGACCTGAAGGAGATCCCGGCCGAGCAGATGGATTTCCGCGCCAACCTGCAGCGGCAAGTGAAGCCAAAGACCGTGTCCGAGGAAGAGAGGAAGGTGCATAGCCCCCAGCAGGTTGACTTCCGCTCCGTCCTCGCTAAGAAGGGGACTCCCAAGACTCCAGTGCCTGAGAAGTTGCCACCTCCTAAACCTGCTACCCCAGATTTTCGCTCAGTGCTGGGCAGCAAGAAGAAATTACCAGCAGAGAATGGTAGCAGCAGTGCTGAGGCCTTGAATGCCAAGGCAGTGGAAAGTTCCAAGCCCGAGAGCAATGCACAGCCTTCAGAGTCCTTGAAACCCATGGGCAACGCCAAACCTTCTGAGTTCTTGAAAACTGTGGCCAACACAAAACCTGCTGAGACTCCAAAACCTGTGACCAACGCCAAGTCAGCCGAGACCCTGCAACCTGTGGCCAATGCCAAGCCTGATGAGCCCCTAAAATCAACTAGGAAAGAAGAACTCAAGAAGGAGGTTAAGAATGATGTGAACTGCAAGAAAGGGCATGCAGGGACCACAGATCATGAAAAAAAACCAGAGAGCCAAGGGACAGCCCCAACCTTCAAGGAGAAGCTACAAGATGTTCATGTGGCAGAGGGCGAAAAGCTGCTACTTCAGTGCCAGGTGTCCTCTGACCCCCAGGCCACCATCACCTGGACACTGAACGGAAAGACCCTCAAGACCACCAAGTTCATCATCCTCTCCCAAGAAGGTAAGTGAGGGTGGGGGTTGGGAAAGAAGGGGCCCCTGTATTAGAAACACTGTCAGCTCATGGAGCCTTGGTCTTATTGACCCCTGCTCGTGGCCCATAGTCAGGGCTGGATTGCCCTGTTCCCCACTCAGGGGCTTTAGGCACCTGCCCTGATGGTGGGGGTGAGGGCTAGGATTCTGATCCTGGTGGCACATGCCCATGTCTCAGCGTCTGTCTGACAGAGCCCTTTCATGCACCCCCCCACTGTGGCTTCCCAGAGTAGACCTGGGCCTGAGCCAGTGCCCAACACCTCTGGCATGAAGATGGCTCTGTTCGCAGGCCTGGAGATGGGGGCACTGAGACTGGAGCCAGTTAGGAGTCCTGAGTGAAGAGTGGCTTAGTTAGCAGCAACATCACAAGTTTGGGGAAGGGTGTGCAGTGATGGGATGGCACAGAGCTCTGAGTTGGGGTCAACAGCAACTAAAGTCTCAATAGCACTGTGAGTTTGAAGGGACCTGTGGGGAAAGCCAAAACCCAAAACAGTCCCTATGGCACACACTCACGGGCAGACACAGCTGCTTGCTTCCTAATTTGGATGAGACTTGTTTGCTGGTATTTCACATTCTTGGGTGGTGGGGAGAGGAGGGGGGCACCAAATCTTGCCATCTGTGGCCTTTTGGGGTCTGGAGGTTTCAGATAGGTCAATTTATACCTGGGGAAGAGATAGGAGTGAGAGGAGTATGTTCCCTGGACCCTCAATTTGATTTAAAGTGCTTTTATGAATCCCAAGCTGGGCGAGAGCTCTGAGGCCGGCAGACGTCCACACCCCTCTCTGGTGGCCAGCTGTGGGGACAGGTTGCCAGTGCAGAATAGAGTCATGCCTGGATTGGAGGCTGATGCCTCTGGCCAGGGCAGGGTACAAAAAAGTTCCCTGGGAAGGTGCAGAGGGTGGCCACATCAGAGGCTGGAGTGGACAGGTCCTGTCAAATCCCAGTCAGCTGAGATGTCAGAAGTGCTGTTCTCCGTGGGCTGCTCCCCTTGCCGTCCCCTGGCTGTATCCTCCCCTCTCCCTCCCTCACCCTCATCTGCTGCCTGTCTTTCCCTTCAAAGCTGGAATGAAGCATGAAACTAGCAAGATTCCTCTCAGCTCCTGGTGAAGTTTCTCTCTTCTCTCTGCATCATGGACAGTAAATCTGGAACAGCTGAGCATGTTGAATCTAAGTGCTGAAGGAGTAAAGGGGAAATTGGCCAGCAGGGAGAAAAATGTGCTATTTTCCACTAGTGTGTTGAGGTGGTAACTTTTTCACATGACTGTCCCCATGTGAAAAAGATTGGTAAAGCTCTCCAGGAGCCATCTTCTCCATCCTCCTGCCTCTGCTGGTTCAGCCTCCTCCATTCCCAAGGCATGAGGGATTACTAGGCTGGGACAAGATGTCCAGGGAGTGGATGCCACAGCCTTCCCATCACCCCTGTGGGTCATTTCCTAGGTAACCCTGTCTCTGGACAGGTTGGAGGGTGGGCCGTCACCATCCTTGGAACATGTGTGGCCACACAGGCCTGCACAACAGGAGGTCCCTGGATGCTCCAACCTCAGGGAAACTGAAGTTCAGACCCCTGGGTGGAGTGCAGTGCCTAAAGCCAGGCAGCTGCTGGTTTAAACCCAGAGCCACCGGCTGCTCATAAACAATCCTCTCGACTAAGCCATGTAAGGCACCTTCAGGTCTGATCTCAGAAACCATGCTGAGCCATTAGCCACTTCTCACACCCTGAGTGCCTGGAGTGTGTTTTATCTGCTGGTCCCTGAGTGGTAGAGAGCATAGGGACCCCAGTCACTCCAGCACCACCTCCCATGGAAACTGTCCCAAATGGAATATTCAGATCCAGAGCAGCAGCAGAAAAAAACGGTTAAAAGAAGGCACATAAGGAGAGAGTAGAGGGAGCCTAGGAGGGACATGGGAGGGGGTTCCGGAGAGAGTCCCAAGTCAAACTGTAAAAAATATTCTAAATATTTAAACATTTTGTTTAAGAATGAGAATAGCTTGCCTCTGTTGAACACCATGCGCCAGACACTGTTCTAGGCATCTTATACTTTGCATCCATTTAATCCTCACAGTGTCAGCTATAATGTCCATCTAACAGAGAAGTTAAGTACCTTGCCCAAGGCCGCACAGCTCATGAGAAACAGAGCTGGGATTTGAACTCAGGTGGTTGAGTTTCCATTCCTAGACCCCTATGTTATATGACCTCTTCGTTAATTCCTATGAGTTTGGCAGAATACTGGTGGCCACTGAGAATTTGTCTATCAACAGAAAATACTAATGATGGCCAGGTGCAGTTACTCACACCTGTAATTCCAACACTTTGGGAGGCTGAGGTGAGAGGATTGCTTGAGCCCAAGAGTTCAAGACCAGCCTGGGCAGCATAGTGAGACCTCCCCACTATAAAAATTTTAAAAATCACTAATGACTATTTACTCTTAACAATTGTCAAAAGATTGAAAGACTGATGGTGCCCCCTGGGCTTGCCACTTAGCCAGTATTTTCCCTGCAGCAGAGGAAGCAGACTTTGAAATTGTCCTATCTTGCCTAGTAGGGGAGAGTGCCTTGTCTTAAATATCAGTCCTTTCTGTCCCTTCACTCACCAAGCCTTCAAGAGCCCCGTGTTTTGTTAAGAAGAAAGCTTATCTTAAGGCCTTGTCTATCAGTTACCACTTCAGTGGGGCCCTCTGCAGGGAGTAGAGCCTTCTGAGAGGTGAAGTGGATCTTCTCTCAATAGCTCTGGAAAGAGAGGACACACACACACAGTGATAAAACTGTTGGAGCCAAGTGCTGACAAGTGCTGATGAGTGTGTCAGGAGGGGCTGCTGGAAGGAGAGGGAGCTGATTGCTGGACTCTAGGGAAAGGCTGGTGTAAAGGTACTGGACCTTGACCTGAGCCCTGAAGGACCCCAATGGCTTTGCAGACAGGGAGCTCCAGCAGCAGCAGAGACAGGCCTGCTCACAGGCTGTGCTGGGCTAGAGAGGACAGCATGGCCTCAATTTTCTTCTTTATCATAACAAGGAACTCCAGCCTAAAGGCAGTCAGGAGCCAGGCAGGATTTTGGAGTGAGGAGCGCTGTACACAAAGCTGGGTTTTAGGGGTTTTGATTGTGCCCCAAAGACAAGTACAGAACCAATTGAAGAGATCAGGGAGAAAGGTGATGAGACCTGGACTAGCACAGTAGCCATGGCCACAGAGAGGAAATAATCCATTTGAGAAGCAGGGACAGAAGTAATAGAGCCTGTTGCCTGGCTTGGAAGGCAGCGTGGGGTGGGAGGAAGTAAAGAAGAGGAAGGAGTGGAAGACCACTGGATAGGGGTGTCTGGGAGCTGTGGTCACAGTGATGGTGTCCATGGGGATAAGGAAGCTGGTGTGGAGGTGTTTGTAGGGGAAGGTGAGGGATTGGCTGTGCTGGTCTCCTGTTCTTCACACTCAGCTCAGTACCTGCCTGCCCTGCCCCCCTGCCTCAGGACCCTTCTTGCTCCACTGCCCTGATCCCCATCCTGTCAGCTGTTTTCCAGTCAAGATCTGCTTTCTCCAGAATACCTTCAGAGACCGTTTTCACCCACCTTGGCTACAAGAGACTCTTGTCCTCTCCCCTCCTCATCAACATGCATATCTGTGTGCACTGACTGCCAGTAGACACCCTGTTTATAGGTTTCAGGGGGCTTCTCTGATGTCTATAGCTTAGATAGGGCTCATAGCCCACAGGCCCCTCCCAAACAGGATATGTCACCCCATTTAGTTCACCCTTTTAGTGCTGAAAAGAGATATGACAGCCATTGGTTGGAGTTGACCCTTAGTTAATTATTGGAGAGACACAGACATATGGAGGTATCTGACCTTCCCCCTTTTCGCACCCCTAGAGTTGCAGGGCTGATGGGGTTCAGAGTACCACCAGCTGGGCCTGTCCTCTGGGACGGGCACCTAGGCCTCCCAGGTTGCTCTGCAGCCCTTTCTGGACCTACCTTGGCTGAGGGTTGGGAGGCGGATGGCCCTGTGAGCTGAGGGGAGTTCTGTGGCACTCCTATGGCGGGTTTTATCTTTGTGCTTTGTTTCTTGTTTCCAGGCCAGGCTTCTCCCCACTACAAAAAAAAATTTTCTCCCAGTTGAATAATGAGAATTAATTTTTGTTGCTGTTGTCAACAGATAATTCATTTTTAATTGCCCTCAGGGTAGAATCTTGCAAAGTCTTTTCCAAAACTTATGTAAGTTCATCCTACAAAAAAATGTATTTATAGCACTTTCGACGAGCAAGGCATTATTCTTGACCTTTTTGTTGTATGCATAATCCACTTGAACTCCAAATTAGGAATGTCTTTTCTTGTTAGAAACTATATTTTTCTTCTTTTTAAAAAAATTTTATTTTAAAGATGTGGGATACAATTCAGGGTTAGGAATACAAATAGTCATTGTACAAGTAAAGTTTGGGCCTCACTTTGGTCCCCACTTCACCTGGTTTGAGACCAGGTACTCTTATTGATGAAGTGTGCCCATTCCCCCCTCCAACAGGTTTCCACTACTGCCAATTCATTTTTTATAGTCTTATGATAATTGTTCAGGGTCTGTTTATGAGTGAGAACATGTGGTACTCAGTTCTTTGTTTCTGTGATAGATCACTGAGTATTATAGACTCTACGTTCATCCAAGTTGCTGAGGAGTTCATAATTTTGTTCTTCTTTATGGCTGCATAATATTCCATTGTGTATATGTACAAATTTTTTTTAATCCAGTTCACTTCCAATGGGCAGCATGATTGTTTCCATGTTTTTGCTATTGTGAATAATGCTGCAATAAACATGCATGTACAGGTATCTTTTTCATAGAAGAAACTATATTTTTCAACAGTAGGCTATATTTGATTACATGTTCATGACCTTGTCTTATATAGATCCTACCAGATCACCTGCTACAAAAATATGCCTTTGTTATTCTCAGAACTGCAGATATGTCTTACTGTGACTGCATTCCAGGCTCAGGAAAAACTGGTGATGCACAGGGTCACTATCCTCAGAGAGCTGGTGTGGGAGATAGGCATGTAAGTCAGCGATGGCCTTGTGAGCCGTGCTTTGACATGGGTGAGCTCAGAGACTTAGGGACACAGAGGAGGTCCACCTAGGATGGCGAGCATACAAGGAGGGCACCGTGCCTGTAGGGGTTACCTGAAGGTGAGTCACGCTGTGGTCTAGACTTGCCAGATGTGCTGGGTCAGGGAGGCCCTGCTGACTGAGGAGCCCCCTAAGCAGATCTTCCCGGGCCTCAGACTACTCCCTCTCTCCATCCATATGGCTTTCCTCCCTCTCCCTACCCACTCAGAAGAAGAGAGAGCTGGGGGAGCTTCAGGACTCTGGAGCACTTCACTCCACAGCCACGAGTGTCTCTTCCAGGCCAAGTTCAATGAGCCATGAATGGATTCCTGTTTCTGACTTCTCCCATCCCCTTCACCTCCCTCTCAAAATTCCCCACCAGGCTGAGACTTCTTTAAAAAAAATGTGCTGGGAAACAGTTTTTCTTCTGGAGGTCAGGAATGAACTGTCCCACAGGAAATACCAGATTCTTCATCTGGGGTAGCCGAGCCTCCAAGTCTGCCAGGGAGGCCTCCCCAGCTCACGCATGTGGCTGGGGGTCTGGGCTCTGGGTGACTTGGAAAAGCTGCCTGCTCCGTGCCTTCCCTGGCAGAGGGAGCAGGGACTGTGATCCAAATGCCCCTGTGCTCTGCTGGTAGTCTCACTACTGTCTTTTCAGCTTATATCCTTTTGGCTTGAGGCTGAAGGCAGCTGAGGGATTGAAACTGAAAGAAAATCAAGGATTTGAGCAGGATGTTCCTTGGGAGTGAGATATCTGCTTCTTAGCCCCACCCGAACTGAGAGAAAATTTTCATGTGGGGCCAATTTCCTCTAAGCTTCAAGTTGGAGCCAGAGGTCATCTCAGCATCCTCCTGCCCACCCAGATGAGTAGAAATTTCTCTCTCTAGAAGATAGTTATTCTCACACACACCCCCCCCCCCCCACATTCCTGTGCCCAACTCTTATGACAGACTTTCTAAAAATCTTGCCTGGAATCATTTCTGTTGCAGTTTCTGCAAATTCTGTTTCCTAACCACAGTGGCCCATTACCCCCACCCCTGTGAGAGAACAAGTGAGGCCTTCCCCGAGAGACAGGGTCTGTATAATGGTTTGAGATTGGGTACAGAACAGCCAAACTGCCCCAGGTGGTTTGTAAGACGAAATTTCTCTGTTTAAAACATTACCCAGGTGGCAAAGAGGAAAGAGGACTATTACGCCTTTACCTTGTTGTGCAGCTATACTGAGGTTCCTTGGGCAGAACTGATGTCCTCCTTCCTCTTTCTGAACCTCCTTGTAGTCATTGATCAAGTCTGTGCATCTATCTAAGGTGACAGGGATAGTGGGTTTGCTCTTTGAGATCAGAGAGCACTTTTGGGAACAGTACCTGTTGATCTCCCTTCTGCACATGCTGCCCTCACACCTGGCCACAGAATGCACCTAGCTCTGCCCTGCCAGTGCCAATGGCTGTGGCTCTAGGCAGGATGCACATGGCCCTGGCTCTGTGCTACTGTGTGACAGCTCCTGTCCTGATAATATGGGCAGTCTTGGGCAGGACACCATGCTGTCCGCTTGTCTGTGTGTCTAAACTAGGGACTGCCGCCCTTCTGCATGGCCTGGTTGGCCCAGTCCTCAGCTGGCCTCTCCCCATACTCTGAGGAAACCTCCCCAAGGAGGTCTCCCAAAGGAGAAGTTGCCAGCCCTAAGGTGTGAGTGCTGGGACAGGCAAAGAAAGATAAGACTCCAGATTCCTGTTTGTGCCCAGCCAGACTTCTCTTTCCCCCAGCCGGGCCAGAAGAGATGTGCTTGGGGTAAAGGCAGCCCAGGTGAGAGTCCCTGGGGAAAGAAGGCTATCTCCAATCCTCTCTGAATCAACCAGGAGACCCAGCACTGAAGAAAGGCAGCTCCAAAGGGCCCCTCCACTGGCCCAGTGCTCCTCATTGACCACGGTTCCCAGCTCAGACACCATCCCTATAAAGTCAGCTCCTGGGTCCCTGGCTGCAGTCACCTTCTCTTCCCACAGATCTTCCTGCAGACCAGTGCCCCTCCTGGACAAGGGCTCAATCCTTACTGAAAGCTTCCTTTTCCAAGATGCATTCCCAGAAGCACAACTATCAGCTGGGCGGAGCCCCTCTCACCTGCCACCATTCCTAACATAGGTCTATAACCCTGTGCCTGACTCCTTTTCGCTCTTGATGAAGCCCCTGTGTACAGGACCTACATCCATTGACTTCTTCTGTTGTATTGGATGCTCTCCAAAGGCAGAGGCTATTTCTCTCCCTCCTACATCTTTCTATTATGAGAAGACTCTTTGGAGCAGGGGAGGGTGTGCCGGGAGGGAGCGTATTAAGAGGTCAGTTATTTTGGACATGGGTTGTCAGCAGAGAGTACCCTAGTTCCCATGAGGAGAAGAGTTTGGTTTCCACAGGGCCTCTGGCTTCTGGGCTACCAGAGGCTGCCTATGTGAGTAATACTTACCTGCCATGCTCCAGATGCCAGGGCAGGGACTGGGACCATATTCAGTTCACTCATTGGCTCTTTCTCTTCCTCCTCAGGTGCACTCTGCTCCGTCTCCATCGAGAAGGCATTGCCTGAGGACAGAGGCTTATACAAGTGTGTAGCCAAGAATGCTGCTGGCCAGGCTGAGTGCTCCTGCCAAGTCACTGTGGATGGTAGGTCATGCCCACCCGTCACCACCACCCATACCTTAAGGTCCCATTTCTCAGCCCCTTCCTTATCCACCATATTTGAAAGAAACTGTCCCAACACTGCACTCCCTATCTGAGGCATTCATTTTGGATGTCAACTTATCTTTTGCAAAAAAAAAAAAAAAAAGAGAGACAGGATAGAAAGTGGCAGGTCTACTTGAGCACCTTCATGGCCTCTTTCTGCACCCCACCCCTGCCCGGGAGGAGCTGCTGCTCACCTTCTCATCCCCCTCCAGTCCTGCCCCTCCACACCCAGAACCTTCTGAGCAGGGCAACTGGGGCACAGAGCAGGAGAAAAGACACACCCACAGGAAAATGACTACAAAGTATTTTACAAGCCGCAATAAACAAGTGTCAGTGCTGGCACAGCAGACCAACAGACCCATCTTGGGTCTGGACAGTGAGGAGGAGGGAGCAAAGTGGGGCCCATGTGAGGAGACTTCTTCCTCGAGGAGGTGAGTTGGGGCCGAGTTTTGGGGTAGAGAGGACAGGGCCACCTCTGCTAAGAGATAACAGTGATAATAATATATCAGAGGGAGGGGAGGAGATGGGTGGGAGAAGGAGCCGGCCTGCCAGGTCTCAGCAGAGTTTCCATGTTAGGGAGAAGCAATGCCAAGCTGTGAGGAATCAGGATATGTCCTAAAGAAATGTAGGAAGTACATTTGTGACTTGTTTTTTCTCACCTCCCTGAGGAATGTAGAGCTGGAGACTCATAAGTTGAAGGAAACTCGTGATGGTCTAGATGAGGAATCATTTTACAGATGAGAAAACTGAGGGCGTTCAGAGCGGAAAAGCATACTGTGTGGACTCCCTGGCTCTTTTAGGACTGAGCCAGGTCGAGAGTCCCATCCTGGGACTCACAATCCAGTGCCTTTTCTCTGTATTTTGTGCTTGCCTGAAAGTGTCTAAAGAGGTAGTTTTGGGAAAGCAGTTTCTTGTCCTTGAAATGCCTGGTTAATAACCATTAGTGACACGTCAAAAACCAGTGTCCAAATAAGGCACCTTGAAGACCAACTTTGTCTTCTCACACCCAAATGTGATCACTCAAGTTCTAAAATCCTAACCTGTTTCACTGCCTTTCCACAAGATGTGGGCTCTTTGTCCCAATTCTGTATTTTATAATTCCATTTCCTGATCTCAAAGCTGAAATCTATGCCACGTAATGAATGGGCGACAGCGGGAAAAGACGTCTTTAAAACACACACACACACACACACACACACACACACACACACACACACACATACACACAATGGCAACACATTAAATTGTGAGTAGCTAAAAGTGAAGCTGAAATCGTCCAACATTGTGTACATCTCCTTGGAGTTCTGTGACTGTGCGTGCCACGGGGGCTCAGAATCTAAGGAAGCAGATTTGATGGGTTCAAGTTTATGGTCAGTGAAGAAGGCCTTGGGGCCATATTTTGAGGCTCTGGAGCTGCTACGTCTGCCTATGCCTGTGTGAGTCTCTCCTCACTGGACTGTCACACACCCAGGTCAGAGTTCCGCTTCTTTCTGTACAGGTGCAGCACTTGAAAAGATAGTGTTTCTAGGAACTTGACCCCGGAAGACTATCTCTCCCAGCCCCTCTGCTGATTTGGAACTCAAGCTGATTCCCACCAAGCTGTGGGGAAGCCCAGCCAGCTAATGAGGTTATCTGCTTTGAGGATGCCCCAGCCTCTTTACAAGCCTATTTACATGGCTAACCCAAGGCAGGAGACCAATTCATTTCCCTTATCTGCAAAATGTCAGCATCTTTTCCAGATTTGTTTTCAAGTTATTTCTTTTTTTCCCCACCGAATACATTTGGGAATTTTTTTTAAGGTTTGGGGAATTTGTTCTGCAACTTAAAAGGCTTTATTTGCCCAGAGGTCTGCTGAAAGATTCTCTTGCTCTCTCTAGTAATCTTGATGACCATCATTATTCATCTCTAGTTTCTTCAAAGGCAGGCTCCAAATTGGAGGAAGAGCTAGAAAAGTGATAGAAGGGACTAGATGAGATAACAGGACTGCCCTCAGTCCGTTGGGTTTTGTTTGGTTTTATTTTCAGAGAGAAAAAGTACAACTCCTCCCTACTTCTTTCCTCAGTGCTGTACTTGAAGATATATTCGTGTCCTGAATGCCAGCTGGGCTTGTGGTCATGTTCCGCTTTATTTTTCTCTCAAGAGCTACTTCCTGGCAAATAGTAAAGGACTGTGGTCTCCTTGACTGCTCCCCGTCACCTTTCTGCACTTTTTCACCTTTTCTTGGCTGGTGCTGCACCCAGCTGGATGTCTCCTGTCCTCATTCTGACCCCTCAGCCCCTCAGCTCTCCCTACTCCCCAAGGCATAATACTTGACTTGGCAATCCCAGTGGGTTTGGGCATCCTTTGAACTTATGGGAGGCAAAATTTTGTGTGTTTGTGGGTTGGAACATCTTTCTGAAGAGAGAGGTCCATAGTTTTTAGTTAGATCCTCAAAAGGAGTCATGGATCAAAATACATTAAAGAATGACTTGCCCTAAGGAGTGACCATGACGCATTTTCAAGCCTGGTCATTGTGTGGGTTCTTCTGATCTCTCTCCATCTGTACCTCTTTGCCCAATCTCTGGATAGAACCAGTCCTGCATCCCTCTCAAGGAGCAGTGCGGTCCTTCTCTACTAGGTGTGATGACCGCAGCGATACTGACATCAGACTGTTTCCCCTGCCACTCACAGGGCTGGGCTGGCCCCTGAAGGTCACTCTCTATCACTCACTCAGCCTGTACCAGACACCATTAAGACTAAACATCTGAGGCCAATATAATGATGTCTTTGAAGACTTCATAAAAATGAGGCAAAAAGAGCTCATTGGCTGTTCTGTATGAGCCACACAACTGTTCATCTCACATCGTAAAGGGAAGGGAGGGAACATTTATAATGCAGCACATCTGGCCATTTTAATTATACTGTTTGGGTCTTTTTCCTAAGAAAAGGGGTGTTTTGTATACTTTCTTGATTATGATCATATTACCCTTCTAAACTCAGCAGAAGGCCCACAGAAGGGAGCTGAAGCCTAGAGTAGAAAACTCACCCAGGAGGAGGAAACGCTGACCTTCAATGCCTGCCATCTCCAGAGACTTGGGCATTTTGCATTTTTAGTTCATTTATTTTTAGTTTATACAAGAGTTGAGCATGGTGTCTTTCTCAGTAAGCAAACTGAGGCCCAGCAAGGGTCAACGGCCTTCTCAGATCCCACAGACAATAGGCAGTAGATGCAGTGTTGGGGTCCTACCCTGCACTGTGAATACAATGCTAATTACCCTGGTAGCACTCAATGTCTGACTTGGAGGCCTGAATCTTTCTATGGCCTGGTGTGACCTCCCTGTGAGTGAACTATCACAGCAGGCCCCACTCTTTTTTTTTTTTTGAGTTGGAGTCTCACTCTGTCGCCCAGACTGGAGTGCAGTGGCCGCTCCCGGCCACCGCAGCCTCGACCTGCTGGGCTCCGGTGATCCTTCCACCTCAGCCTTCTGAGTAGCCGGAATTACAGGCATGCGCTACCATGCCCAGCTGATTTTTTTTATTTATTGTAGAGATGAGGTCTCGCCAAGTTGCCCAGGTGGGTCTCGAATCCGCGGGCTCAGGCAATCCACTCACCCCAGCCTCCCAAAGGCGCGGGATTACAGGCTGAGCCACGGAGCCCGGCTAGGGCCCACTCTTCAAGTGAGCCAGATCTCCCTACTGGGAAGTCCTTCTGCATTTGGGCCTGAGTTACCTATTTCCTCACGTTCAGACCCAGATAAGCAGTGAGAAAACAAAGCCCTTTTTAGGCAAGAATCCCAAGATAAGGGATTCTAAGGTCAGAAGATACCTTAGCCTCCTCACTGGCTCATCCCGCTCCTCCCATCTCAGGCCTCCTACCCGCAGCCACCCTGGCCAGGGCACCCAACCTTAGTTACCAATGAGACCAAGGCTTCATGATCATGGAGGATCATGTGTGGTTGTGGTGGAGGAGGGATGCTCCAGTGTAACTCATGCCAACACTCAGTCATTCAACAAGTACTTGAGTGCCCATTCTGTGTCAGGTACTGCTTTAAGGACTGGGTTAAAAAACAGTAAACAAAAGAGAAAAAGCTGCCCTTGGAGCTTCACATTTTAGTGGGGGAGAGGCAACAATACAGATAAACAGCATGTCGCATTCTCAGGTAATAACATCATGTGCCTGGAAGAAAGTAAAGAAGGCCAGTGGGGGAAGGAATACTGCTTTTGGAGGGGGTGGCTGTTGAGGCCTCTCTGAGAAAGGGACATTTGAACAGAGACCTGAAAGAAGTGAGGGAAGGAATAGGGAAGAGGTGACCGCGAGAGCACAGCCCTGAGCTAATGAGACTGTGCTTGAGGCATCCCAGGATGAGGCAGGAGGCCAGAGTGTTGGGAGCCTTGCACACAGGACAAGGAGGTAGGAACTGGGGTTGAGAAAGACGGCAGGACAGACCCAGGCAGCATCAGCTATGACAAGGAAACCAGATTTTACTCTAAGTATGATGGGATAAAACTGGATATCCATGAAGGACCCCTCAGGTCCTTGTGGTGACCAGGCCCAGGATGGCTAAGAGGAGAACGGGGGAGTGATGGGAGGTTGCTGCCATAGCCCAGGCAGAAGGTGATGGCAGCTTAGGTTGGGTGGAAGAGAAGGAGGTGAGCAGACCCATAATCTATTCTGATGGAGCGCTCATAGGATTTGCTGATGAACTAGGCAGAAGTGGGCGGGGAGTCAAAGGTGACTCTTGGTTTTCATGGGGGAGCCAAAGATCTATGTTGGGGGTTGTGGGGACAGTCAAGAGTTGAATGCATGTGAGGTGCAAGTCGTCCACTTGACACCCCAAATAAGTATGTCTCATCATTATGTGTTTAGACAAATCTGGGGAGGGAGATCAGAATTGGAGGGAGGATATGGGGAGCCATCCACATCTAGAGGCCATTTAATGCCCTGGGATTGAATAAGGTCCCTAGGAGCATGTGTGGTGGAGATGGAAAGATGGAGGGAGGCAGAGTCTGACACTGAAAGACAGGGCAAGGCAGGGGCCTGCGAAGGAGACTGGGAAGGAGTGGCCACAGCGAGATAGGAAGAAATAAGGAAGGGGAGTTTCCCAGAAGCCAAATGGTGAGAATTTCAAGAAGAAAGGAGTAATCCATTTTCTCTCACTCAGACCCAGATGAGAAGTGAGAAAACAAAGCCCTTCTTAGGTAAGACTCCCTGAGCATTGGCCATTAGATTTGACAATATGGAGGTCATTGGTGACCTTGAGAGAGGCCTTGAGGGGAGTGATAGTAATGACAGCCTCATCTGAGGCTCAAGGTCACACTAACTAGCAGAGTGGGAATTTAAACCCATGGTTAACCTTGATTCCTGACCACTGTGGTTCCCTGCCACTGTGGCGGCCAGCACTTCTGATTGTCTCTGAGCTGTTTTTGACCCGCCCTTGTTTTGTTAGCCTTGGCCCTGCCATATTCCCAAGTCTGCTCCCACTTCCACATTTGTTCTTTCAGTCGTCACAGGCAGCTAATGGGTGTCAGGTTGAACTAAATAAAACTGCTATTTCTATCAGTCAAAAACCCTTAAATACTGGCAAATGATACGTTCAACCTGATATGAGTATACAAAGCACTTAGCATAGTGCATGCACTGAATCAGCACCCAATAAACATCAGCTATCATTTTACGACTTGCTCACTCCTCCTTCAGTCTTCTATTGAGGTGTTGTTATTCCCATTTTCTCAGTGAGGAAGGTCAGACTCAGAAAAGTTCAGGTATTTGTCTAAGGTCGCACAGCCCCTAAACAGCAGAGCTAGGGAGGAGCTCCAGTTTCCTGACCAGAAATCTCTTTCTCCTTCTTATGTTTTTGTGCTGCTTTCTCTCAGGCAGAGAGAGGCCAGCAAAGAGGCTCCAGTTATCCCAGGGACAGGCTGGAGCCCAGCCCCTCTGCCCTGCCCCCAGTGGGGGGCTCCTAGAAGCTGAATCCCCGCCTCAGAGGCTTCCCAAGACCTCATTCCTCCTGCTTGGGTCAGAGCTCAGGGAACCAACCTCTTGAGGGGAGACAAGAAAAAAAATGTTGCCCAGAGGGCTTGAGTCCAGAGCAGCCCAGGAGTGGAAGGGGTGAGGCATTGTCCATATAAGGACACATTTTCCTCTCTGTGTAGAGGCCCCCCACTTCCCCACACCTCCATCTTCCTCCCCCATGCCTCTTTGGGGGCACAAGCAGGCCTGCAAAGGACTTCAGCCCTGGGCCCCAGATCTAGAAATGGAGTTCAATTTCATCACAGAATGATTAAAATAGACAGAAAATACAAGCTACTCTTAAACTTATATTACTATTATTTTTATCCCCTGGGCAGCTGTGTGAGCACAGAGCTGGTTTTGATTAAGCATGCAGTCCTTCCAGCCCACTCCTTGCTGTAGTTCACACGGAGGTCTGGTGGCTCAGCAGCCCTGGCAGGGCCCCACAGTGAAGGCACGGCCCCCCAGTGTTGGCACTCTAGGTTGTGCGGGGCCACCCTGTGGGGCTCCAAGTCTGGGGTGTGCCTGGTTTGAAAGGAAAACTCAAGCCCCTTTCCTCATAGCCCAATGGGAAGATAAGGCACACGGGAACTTCTACAAACAAGACTCGCCGCACATCACAGGGTAGTGTACTCACACGTCCAGGGAAAACCCAGCACCAGAGAGCCTTGGACAGATGCAGAAGCAGATGGACTGGTCAGGGAGTGCCTTTGAAGGTGGAGAATTTTAAACCCCATTCAGAAGGGAATGAGGGGGTGTGGCTAACAAGGGAAATTTGTAGGTATATGACCACTGTCTGCTCTTCAAAGCACTGTTTCATGCATTCTTTCCTTTGGGCCTCAGAACACCAAGAAGCAGAGAAAATAAGAGTCATTCTCTTTGTACAGACATGACAGAGACACAGGGCAGTTTATGTTATTCACCCAAGTTCCCAGGATTGCTGGAACCTTCCTCTCTCAGTCCCTACTGTGGTGATGCTTGGAAGTAAAGCCCAGCACAGCCCCACAAGAAGAGAAGGAATCTGTTTCTGCAGCCCTTGTTTCAGGAACCCTGGAAAACTGGGCCTCTTAGCTTTTGCTTGTGCCTCAGATTATCCATAAATTTAAAAAGATGGGTGGATCTTTCTTGTTCTCCCTCCTCTACGCTCAGGAACTCACCAGGAGAAAAAGAGTGCTGAAGAACCAAACAAACAAATTTGGGGAGGCACCTTTCTTTAAATTGTCATCAGTGATTTTTAGAAGTGCTGATCTTAGAAGGGAAGAAGGACCAGGCACCATGGTTCACACCTGTAATCCCAGCACTATAGGAGGCTGAGACGAGAAGACCGTCTGAACCCAGGAGTTTGAGACCAGCCTGGGCGACATAGCAAGAACTCGTCTGTCTAACAAATAAAAAAATTAGCCAGGTTGAGGTGGAAGGCTCTCCTGAACCCACAGGTTGAGGCTAATAGTAAGCCTTGAACATGCCACTGCTCTCCAAGCTGGGCAACAGAGTGAGATCCAAACTCAAAAAAAGAGAGAAAGAAAAGAGGAAAGGGGAGGGCCCAGGCCAAGGGAATGTTAGGCTGACTGCATGCTACTGGTTTATGGCACCCTGATCCCCAAATATCAAGAGGAAGCACTGCCAGGTTTTCCTGAATTGTCCCTTAGTCCCACCCTGTGCCCTCTCCACCACCCCTCGTCCATGGGTACTCATGCACACAGAGCCTGAGGAAAGACTAGGAGTTTTCAACTAGCAAGGTATTCGCATCATCTGTAGCATTTCTGGGTAATATTTCTGCCCAGACCCCAGCCCAGACCAACTAAGCCAGGACCTGGGGGTGAGATACCCCAGTGCAGGTGTTTGCAATGTACAACTGAGGCTGAGAACCACCAAGGCTGATAGATAAACATGTACAGATGACTTTCCTGTAGCTGAGAATGGCCTTGATCCTTGGGGAAAACACCTAGTGTAAGAGAATTCGAACATTCCCGTACCATGGGACTTTCTGCTCCTCCATCCCTGTCCACAAGGAACTGGCACTCTGGGACATGGACAACCCCTTAAGGAGCTTGTCGGGGACACCTGACTCACCATCTGGGGGTTCCTTTTCCCATAGGAAAGGTGGCAAGAGTCAGGTGCAGAGTGGGGAGTAGAAGTGGGGGGGTGATAATCAAGCACTATAAAGGGTTTCTTCAGCTTTGTGTCCTCACCAAACCCCCATGACACCCCCCCATCATGTACTGCTAAGAAGTCCTTAAGTTGTGTGTATTTGGCTTTTGGCTGTCTTCAGTGGGAGGTTGCACCTACAGCCCAGAGGCTTGTCCTGCCTCTGAGCTGCCAGTGAACCTGCGATGCCAGTGAGGGCCTCTGTCCCTGGATTACCACTAATGGAGAAGGGACAGGCAGTAGGCTAGGAAGGAAACCTGCCTGGAGTTTAGGCCTCGGAAACGATGATGAGTGGAGGAATTCATATGGGCAGATCCATGATCTGGAGCGGGCAAGTACCCAAATGCCATCGAAGAAATGCACCCAGATGGGAGCTCAGAAAGTCCCTCCCCAGGGAAGAAGATGTCCTCAGCCCCACCCCACCCCCCCTTCTCTGCTCTCTGGGCCCACCCCTCAAAGCCCCAGGAGCCCAGTCAAGGCAAGACTGCCTGTCCTGGAGGCGGGACTGTGAGATGGCCCTTCCTCCCCAACCAAGCCACAGGAATGCTGAGGAAGCCTCAGCTGGAAAGTCCCAGCCCTCCTCCCCGCCCCCGCCCCCAGCTTCCTCTCCTCGGGAGCAGGAAAAGGATGGACAGGAAAGGGGGTCCAAGGGGGAGGCTCTCTCCAGCACTGTCCCCAAAGAGTGCAACTTGTTGCGAAAGGAAGACCAGTGACAATGCTGGGGCTCAGTGATAGCCGCTCAACCAGCCTCACCTTATCCAAGTTCCTGGGTGGTTTCCTCACAACGTCTTAAAGTTCGGCCTCCTGGGGGCCCAGTGAGGGCCTTTTCCCCCCAGCCCAGAGTGACATTTCCCTGCTGCCCCAACAAAGGAGGGTTTCTCTGGCAGAGTGTGGAGTAGAAGCTGAGGAACCACGCACTTACCTGCCCAGCGTTTTCCGTTCTGTGCAGTAGGTGGGCAGCAGGGTTCACCAGGCCTGCTCTGGGGAGAACTGGCAGAAGTCCCCATGGTGGGGCCTAGACTGGGTTGCAGAGGGGGTGAGGTGTGCCAGCTGCCTGCTCAGGGGCCTTTGTTTGGTCTGTCAGTACAAAGTTTGGCCTGTGGAATGAAGTCTGAGAAATCAGAGTCAGTGAGCCACCTCTAACCTCTGAGCCCAAGGGCAGGGAGGCTATCCCCTCACTCCTTTGTACAGGAGACAGCCTGAGTGAGACAAGGATTGATGAAGGACAATGCTTGGAGAAGCAAGCAAGGGGGTGACTGCCCCAGCTCTGCCAACAATGTCATTCCTGGGGCGTGTGCGGCCGCAGAGAGGAGTGTCATTAGCTCCCAGGGCAACCAGTCCATTCATCAGGCCAGGGTGTCTGTGCTCCCTCCACCTGAAGTATCAGGCCCAGTGCAGCAGACTCTAATTGGTGCTTTCGTGGAGGGTGGAGGGGAGTGCCTGGCCACAGGTGCCATTCTGCATGAGCATGGGGGGCCCTCAGAACTGGGTAAGGGGTGGGAAGCACGCTATCATTTTCATTGGGGTGGGATTTTGAAAGAGACGACTCCTCTGCTCATTTCCTCAGCAGCTATTGACTAAACCTTGTTGTTACCTGTTTTGTTCCAGATGCTCCAGTCAGTGAGAACACCAAGGCCCCAGAGATGAAATCTCGGAGGCCCAAGAGCTCTCTTCCTCCCGTGCTAGGAACAGAGAGTGAGTACTCATTCAACTTGACCAGGCAGAGGCGGGAGCAGGCACCTCCAGGACTGAGGGTAGCCTCAGTGCCCTTGCTTCCTGACCACTCACTCTTGTCTAAGCTCCTCAAAGTCTGGCATCTGCCTTCACCCCAGGATGCCCCGTGAGCACCTAATGACCGAGCCAGTGGCCTTTCTCACCCCTCCCCCCCTCCCCCATCCTCTTCCCACCCTGTCTCTCTAGCCTGGGTGGTGATGCACATCTCTTGTTTGTCCTCCTACCTACATCCCTGTCAACTCACTCACACCCTTTGCTTCTTACCAAGATCCCTCGGGAGAGGTCTCCTCATCTCTCCCCAGTTGACTGCCCTGCCAGGGAGGCCCTTCTAGATTGTAACTCTGATCTTATCACTCCTGGTTGAAATATGCCGTGGCCCCCAGAGCATATGAAATCCATATGACTAACCTCTGCATGATAGTCCTGGGATATACCTTGCTCACATGTGCACATGTGGTTCCACATGTGGCCTAGCTCCCACCTTCCTTGCCCAGAACTGCACCCAGCTCCTTTTCTCCTATTTTATACTCTGACCAAACTGAGCTCTTCAATGGTACAGCCTCACCTTATCCAAGTTCCTGGGTGGTTTCCTTCATGCCTTCACTCTGGCACCTCTCTCCATGGGACACCTTTCCTGCCAAGTCCACTGAAAGGTCCCTCCTCCCTGAGTTCTTCTTCACTTCAGCTGAGTCACTTTTCTCTCCTGTGAGCTCTCAGGGTGTCAACTCTCGTCCCTGTTGGCTGTCTTCTTCCCCGTGTCATGGTGATGTATATTCCCTGAGGGCCCAGACTAGGTCTGTTTCAGCAGGTGCCTTTCAGAATATGTGAGCTGCGTGTGCCTTGCTCATGACGGCTCTTTCTAGGGTCTCTTAGAGTAAACTTAGAGTGTACATAGTCAAGGGAGAAAGGAGCTTCTCTGTGACCACAGACAGAGGGTGTAGAGCTGCCTCTTTTGGAATCTTAGCTGCCCCAGAGCCCTCTTATCCATCAGGCACAGAGCTAGGGTCCATGGTGCTTTATAGCCCTGCCAAATGCTGTGATAACTTTAAAGTCAGAGGAGACAAATGAACTTTTAGGTGGAAGTCAGTGTTTTAATTCATAATTTAATATATTCATCTTTTTGCCAACTTAGCTGTAAAGTATATCTTATACAATTCAAATATAATATATACAATTACTTATATGCACAAATATAAATATAGATATATAGGTATTTTTTTAAATGGAGGAAAGCCCATGAGGCAGAAGTGCCTAGAGTCCTCAAAAGTCACAATGCAGCCCAGTCATCCCCTACAATTTTTAATCTAATTTTGTTAGCAGAACTATCCTTTGAAACCTCCAATTTTAACAGAGGGTGTAGAGTTTCTTGGACATCCTCAACACATCCTATGTTTTAAAACAAAGGACAAGCCTCTATTACATGTATTAGCAGAGGAAAGTAATTGAGCCTGATTGATTCAAAGACCGCGTCTCTCTTTCCATTACAAGGCAGTGTTTTGTGACTTAGTTTTATTCTTTCCTTTCTTTTTCTTTTCTTTCTTTCTTTTTTTTTTTTGAGTCAGGGTCTCATTCTGTCACCCAGACTGGAGTGCAATGGCACAGTCACAGCTCACGGCAGCCTCAACCTCTTGGGCACGGACAATCCTTCTGCCTTCCGCCTCAGCCTTACAAGTAGCTGGGACCACAGGCATACACCACCATGCCCAGCTACTTTTTAAATTTTTTGTAGAAATGAGGTCTCACTATGTTGCCCATGCTGGTCTCAAACTCCTAGGCTTAAACCATCCTCCTGCCTCAACCTCCCAAAGTATTGGGATTACAGGCATGAGCCACCACGCTTGGCCTCTTCTTTTTAAATCAACATATTTATCTTTCTAATGATGAGCTTGAGTTCCTTGAACCTACACCAACCAGGCCCTCTGGGGTACTCAGTTTTCAGTTATGTTGGGGCAACCAAATTGGAGTTATAATTTCTCATGGATATTTAATCAAAACGGGGAACTTCAGATGATCAAGTATGGACATTTAATACATTGTGGGAAATGCATAAATAATACTAAGAAAAACCTAGTAAAATGGGTTAGTCATTTTATTTTCCAAAAGTATTCCTTGGACCCATGCTGTACTAGTTGCAGGGAAACATGAGCAGAAGAAATGGAGGAGGAGGACAAGCTGCAGTGCAGGTGTAGGGCCGGAAGTCGATGGCCACTCCAATGAGATCCTGAGGGAGGTGAGTGGGGTCGGAACTGAGCTGTGGAGAGAAGAACAAGCTGGAGACCATGAGCAGAGCGGGAGCTGGGCTCTTTGCCCTGGAGAACAGAAAGCTGTGGAAACCCTAGGCAAGACCTCATTGTCAGAGTCTGGAGCAGCTGCTCACACCTCTGGCTAGATATTAAACTCACCTGGGGAACATTTAAGCCACTGCCCCCAGGGCTGCACTCCAGACTAATTACATCAGAATCTCAGGGGTGGGAGGCAGACTTCAGTATTTGTTTAAGCTCCCAAGTCATCCTGTGTGCAGTCACGCTGGACACCAGCTGTTCCAGAGAGAAGCCTGGTGCCTGCCCTGTGGGACTTGAGAAACAGAAAGCAGTCTCCCCTGTTGCCTCTGTTAAGTGTGGAACTGACCTGAGTGGGCAGGGGGATCCTTCGTATCAACATTTTCAGGGTAACTCGGCCACCTTAAGGAGGAGAGCAACACACTCTGTGGTGGGGAGGCAGGAAGCAGAGAACGGGGCACAGTCAGATTTATTTTGGGTTTTTTTTGTTTGTTTTTTTTTTGAGTTGGAGTCTCACTCTGTCGCCCAGACTGGAGTGCAGTGGCCGCTCCCGGCCACCGCAGCCTCGGCCTGCTGGGCTCTGGTGATCCTTCCGCCTCAGCCTTCTGCTG